ACCCTGAACCCTAAACCCTAAATATGTCTTTGCTCAGTAGGAGGCAAAAGCCCCTAAACCATGACAGACGAATCGTTTTGATGGGTCCAGGCGCTGCGAGCTTGGGGTCGCATCGGAACTCGCTATATTATGCGCTCCAGAAAACGTAGTGAAGATGCCTCGAAACTCGAAACCCTGCCGAAAAAGAAAGCCCCTGAAGTGCAACTCTGTCAGACGGGAAGGTACTTCTAAAACCTTCAGCCGAAATCCTGAAGACCCTGAGGAACCTTGTGGGCTTTAACCTCGGCGTTTATGTGTCCACGGACATCAACAGATCAGATTTTCCATCCTGGGAGCTCTTCTTCACGCCACTCTGCGGATGCTTGCGACGATAATAATTAGGGCTTGTTGGCATGACGCATATCTGCTTCAGATAGGCGCGTGTGTGTTCTGATGGAAGCTGCCCCTCATTCTGCAACTTGTAAGTTGAGCTCTCGATTGCGGATAGATGCACCTGATCAGGCGGAAGCGGAGGCAGAAACCACAATTCGCATGCAGCGTTTCCCGGTAGTTGCAAAATAAACATGTATTAAACAACACCAGACTCTGAAGCTTGGGGCCAAACTTCCCAACAGCTCACGACTTGCCAAGTGTTGGCGATCTGGCCTTCACTGTTCTGTTCACGCTGGACGTCGTGATCCGAATACTCGTGCTGCGGTGCAAGTTCTGGAAGGCCGGGCTAGGAGCAGGAAACTTCGGTTTACAGCAGCTGTCTGGTGATCATGTCTTCCGCAACCGTATCTGCCAATTTTGTAGATCTCGCGACTTGGCCTTGAAAAGTGGAACGGGCTGCCAGCTTTTCCCTTCTCCAGTAGATGGTTCGAATCAGTCGGAAGGTTCCTTTGAATTACATCGACGTAGCAGCCGCTTGGTCTGCACGCGACTCGCAAGTCCGTGGGAGGACGCAGGATTTGGGACTTTTTTGACACATTCAGGAGTCACCCTAGCCAAAAGTCTTGACTCGGAACCTTTTGCGAAATCTCCGAAGTGCTTAACCCGAATCGCACCTGTCCAGGCAGCAAGCATGAGCTTCTGCCGCGACCTCGAAGCTCGTCCCCCCACGACAGCTGCAGGTCAGTTTGACTTCAATCTTCGAGGTTGCTGTGTACTACGGGAATGCTTTTCCTGCGACTCGGATTGCCACAAGCTGATCAATGCTTTGTGATTCTCAGGCTTCGACCCTTGTCTTGGACAAGCTGAGACCCTGAAAGCCGTTGAGGTCTTGAAGCTTGTGCTACTTAAGCTTTTGCATGCAAAGGCTGATGCATGTCCTTACCTCTCCTCTCGCAGAATTCGTACTTCATGAGTCCCTGCCTGGATGTCCCTGCTTTGCGTCTATAGTTTTTCGCCGCCCTCAGCAGCAGGTGTAGCCTCCTTGTCTCCCAGGGTGCTGAACCGAAATCGCAGAAGTCTTCAACCTTTGTTTGCACGCCCCAAGCGCTAAACTGGGCTTGTGATGTGGGCCAACGCCCGAAGGTGAACCCCATCTTATTTCGACTCCTCCGGATCGGGAAGCTTGCGCGTGCCATCCGCACCTCCGACAAAAAGAAGATCCAGCTCACTTCGGTCAAGCTAATTCTGGTGAGGAAGAGGAATCTAATTCAGAAACCTCGCCTTTATCACACCGGAACAATCGGATTTGTGTTCACACCCCGAGAAGACCCTGGCATTGCTGTATCATTTCCCACAGCAGGGGTCCAGGGTTCGGGTTTTCTGCTGATATCTCCTCTTAATCCATGGGACTTAGTCCTTGCTGTTGTATGTGTCAGTAGAAACATATGTCACACACCTGAGCCCCTTGATTGGGAC